GCTAAGACGTTAAAGCGGACACTACCATTATATGAAGTAGTTATTTATAGGCATGTTTATTCTGAAATAAAATAAAAGATACTTGTTTATTAATATTTATTTATGACACATTAGCAAAGTATTCATCAATTATTTTCTTGCATTTATTCAAACCAGACAGATCTCCCGCTTTGCCTTGGAACTTGCCATGTTTGAAAGCTCCTTTGGCTTTTAGAAGCTCAGTTATTCTGGAAAAAAATTAAATTGATTAAGGAATAGTTAAAATAGATTTAGCTCTTGCTTATGACACTCAAGAATGATTTTTTAATCAAATATTGAAGGAATCTTTAAAATTGGTCAAGTAGTTTTTGACTTTATTTGTAACAAACAACAAAACTTCATACTACTGGCCCTGTTATGTCGGAGAGAGGGAAAAGGACGGTAATATAGTAATTTATGGTTGGTGTCAATTTTTAACAGATTACTGTATTCATGTAACATTGAGAAAATAAATCATATGATATATTTGCTATACTGATAAAAGCCATTTTTTTTTATTTGTCTGTCTGTGTTTGTTCCTGATAACCACCGGAACAGTTGGACAGATTTAGACGAGACGTTAAGGGACACGTAGTTAATGCATGAATATTATAGGTTATTTCTTTTAATTTAGCACTCAAAGTCGAGAGCAACCATTAGTTTTACTGTAAAAAAAAAAATTACATACTGTTGTCCAAGTTCATTGCAATGTTCCTCGGGTCCTTGAATTATAATTTGACCTTCCTTTGGTTTATCCGGTTCAGAAGACGCAAGGAATAAAAACATGCTATCTCCCTCTAACGCCTTGCAAATCGCACGATTGAAGTCAGGTGTGGCTTCCTTTTTACACATGAAAATGTACTTTGGCTTAGGCTGGACGTTTTTAATTCTATCTACTTCAAATTGAGCCAACTCTGATAGTACATTTTGCAAACTTTTATTTGTTATTTTAAAGTTTTTCTGCAGTTTTGATACTAATTCTTCATGTTTATTTGGTTCATTCCTGAAAAAATACATGAAATAGAACAAACTTCTTTTGGTGTTGATTTTTCAAATATTCATTTTAAAAATAAATACTTATCTACTGATCTTACTTAAGTAAAGCTGTTAATGCTCTCTCTCTGTCCAACATCTGTTGAAATGTCTTTCTCACTCTGTTACCGACTTGGAACTTCAAATTTGTCTTCCCTTTCTTTCCCGGCTCAGTGCCCACTAACTTGATCACTTGTAATTGACTGCAACAATAGCATTTAAATTAGAGAAGAATTACTTATTGCATCCCACCCTATTATATTAAGAGAGGTTTCTAGTAAGTGGATTGATGGTGGAAGAGGTGGGAGAGCAATTATCCTCTTTATGTGTATTTGCAAATGTCTAGGCAGCTGTTGCCTTTGCCATTTGAGCGAATTTAGGTGGCCGTTTGCTCTCGTTTGTCACCTCTTAATATAAAATATTGATAGTCATGACTAGGAATATAAAACCTTTATACATAATAGAATGTGAGTTAGTAAAATAGTAACTTGAGGCATCCCCAGGCCAGGATTTCTTTATTCTTGATTAGGTAATACCTGAGATTAGTGACATGTGTGCCGCAACACATGTTCTCGTCAATATCTCCGATGCAGATAATCCTTATTGTGTCCATGCAGTCTTTGGGAAGACCTCTTGTGTGTGCCTACAGGATAGTACAGTTACATAGAAGTTATTATTTTAATGCATTTGAACCTTAAGAAAACTATAATCCATACTAATATAGAGGAAATATTTGTATTTTTGTATATATTGAAATAACTCAAAAACTACTGGGTCGTTTTCAAAAATTCTTTCAACGTTAGATAGGTAACTTATCTGTGAGTAACATAGGCTACATTGTTTAATTTCACGCGGTGAAGTCGCGAGCAACAGCTAGTTACAAATAAATTAGACATTAGGCACTATTTGATGTTAGAGAAAGTCTATCTAATAAAACTTCCCATGTAAACGCTTTTTGAACTGTTCATATTAACATTTCTAAAAACTATTTAATCTTTTTTTTAAATATTAGTAGATTTTTATTATTACTAATATTTCCTTTAACCATTCCTACTTAACTCTAGGCTTGTGCTATGAAATGGTTCACGACAATAGTCGAATTCGACCGCAAGATCGGTAGTCAGTACAGATTACTTAACATTCTTCAGAATTAACTTACCTCATTTAAATCAGGATCATTAGCTTTACAAAACTTTACATTAACGGGAACAGCATCACGGATCAGTTCATTGCATCTTGTCTCCACATTTTTAATAACATCCTCTGTCACACTGGTAGCATCAAGTTCTACATAACTCTCATCAGCACCCAACCACCAGCTTGTAGTTGGTAAAGCATACTCTTTCTCTAATATTGCTGACAGAAGATGTTGCCCTGTAAACATTGTTTGTAATTCCATTCCAACATTCTGCAAAAGTTCAGAATAGACTGAATTACCCTTCAGTGGGGTCCAAAACAGTGAAATAAGGGCTGCCTACTTATAAAATCTAGACAAGCTTGCTTATTAGATCTGAATTCAGGTATATTTGTATAAAGCCTTTTTGGTACACAATGCAATCATCTAATTAGAGAATAAAAGCTTTTGCTCATGACTTTGTCCGCCCCGAATTAAAAAAAAAAGTAACCTATGTGTTCATCCAGATTATATTCTACATCTGTGTCATATTTCATTGAAATCTGTCAAGTTGTTTTGGGGATCCATTTATACAAACATTCATACTTTTGCAATTAATATATTAGTATAATTTAACCCAGAGTCTGGCTTGATGTGACATTATAATGGCATTATAATTTAAGCATATATCATTTTAACAGTGGTAGAGCCCGCTTTAACATCTTGCACGAATGGGTCTGCTGGCCCGGTGTAATACCACGACCACACAGAAGATAGGCGTGAAGTGGACGCAATTCCGAGTTTCGTCTGATGAGTGTGGTGCTGGAGGCCCAATTTTAGTCCCTTTCCCGTCCCACCTTGTTCTTATGAGAAGGATGGGAAAGTGGATTTGACGGTGGAGGAGATGCATAGGAAGGGGAAATATCCTCTTTATGTGCGTCTCTTCCTCCGTTAATTTAGGGTAGGCAACGCATCTGAGATTGCGGATGTCTATGGGCAGCGGTCGTTTCGCTATTTCGGCGGATTTATGTGGCTGCTTACTCGTTTGCCACCTTTTTGTATTAAAAATAAAAATAATGCTTGCAGTTAAATTACTACAAACTATACACTTACAAACAGGGCATACCAGAATGTTGTTGCATGTGATCAAACCTTCTTTCCCATTGGATCTTCTGTGTTACTGTTGTACCAATTGCTAGAGGCTCCTTCGTGAAATGTAAGGCTTCATCTCCTTTACGTAGAACTTGCAACACTTCTATATTATCCAACCATCCAATATCATGGGGCTAAAATAAGATTTTATAATAAATTATATTCAAATATAAAAGCACAAAAAATATAGCATACTAGTTTCAGTTCGCAACTCTGTCCACATGGAATTTAAAAAAAAACAAGCCAAAAACGAAATTTGAAAATCCATATTATAATTTTGGAATTAGCAAAAGTTAGTAGTATCCTTTACATTTATGCGAATTTAAGTGGTCCCTTTTTGTTTAATTTTTAGGGTAATAAATACCTGTCCACCTCCAGCAGGAAATAGTATAGTGTTTTCTAAAACTATTTGATATCCTTCAAACTTAATGATCTTTCCATAATCCACTATAGATTCCTTAGTTTCATCACATTTCAATACTTTAGATGTAAACTGAAAATAAAATATAACAAGTAATAGTGAAATTAAAAAAATCTTGTGAAGAAAAGTTTTAAATTAATGAAAAACATTTTATTCTTGAGCTTGTTAAAGGTTATTTCTCTAAAAGTGTTAACTATACTTACCTCTTTTAGAAAACTATCTTCTTGGCATTTGAACACCATTGTATCAAAGAGTAATTATTTTTTTGATAATTACTTTTGTATGCTTTTGTTGCTTTTATATTCCTTTTTGTTGTATTTTTGTTATGATTATGACATAACTTTTAACATTGACAGATGACAGACAGTTTGACATTGATCAATTATTGTTGATAATTGTTTTTTTTTTTATACTTTAAACTTTGTAACTTTCAGCCACGTTGAGATTTTTCTAAAGGTTACATTGAAATCAATAAAAAAAACCTTGTGACGAATAATAAATGATGAAGTATTCATTCGTATTTAAGAAAATGTTCAAAGGGAGTATTTTTCGATTTTCCGTAAATAAAACTATAGCTTTCGAATATCACGCATATATTATTTGTTAAGAAACCTATAATTAACTACATTAAAAATTGCACTTATTTATATGAACTCTTTCTATGGTGAATGACGCTTAAATGCTTTATCAAGAACAGAAATAGCGAAGTCCACATCGTCTTTATTGATGCACATGGGAGGTGTTATTTTTAAATTCTGAAACAACAATGTTGCATGTTTTAATGAGTATTAAAATTTGCGAGTGCAAATAATAAATATTAATCTTTACAATAAACTTACATGGGTCCAGCGTCCACCCGATCCTATCAACACTCCAAGATCTCTTATGGTTTCATAAATATCTGCCCCATTGTCCGCAGGTTCTTTTGTGCCAGGTTTAACTAAATCTAAACCAATCATCAAACCCTTTCCACGCACATCACCGATGATTGGATACTGCTTTTGTAGTTGCATCAACTGCTCTATAAAGTATTTACCAACAGTCTTGCTGTTTTCTTGGATATTTTCTTCTTCGATTACCTTAAAAATTCAGTAAGCAAGTAATATTTCGTCTGTATTTTAAGATTTTGAATTATCCTATCAATACTTACATCTAAAACAGCCTTGCCAACTGTACAAGCAAGAGCGTTACCACCAAATGTATTAAAATACATAGCACGTGTGTGGGCGTCAGCGATCTCTTTAGTAGTGACGACTGCAGCAAGGGGGAAGCCATTTCCTATCCCCTTAGCCATAGTCACTATATCTGGAATGATACCTTCGCTTTCAAAACACCAGAACGTATTACCAGTCCGGCCGAAACCGGTTTGCACCTGAAAAAATTTGAATACTACGTTATGATTTAAAAGCTAATGGTCATTTTGAATTCGTGAGTGATAATTAAAAAGAGAAGAACAATATGACACTGATATTGTTCTGTCTCGCCTCTTGCTTATAATTGTCCTCTGTCCTCTATACATGCTGAAAAAAATCTATATTTTCTCTGGAAGATTTCCATGAATGCTTATCGTAGACTCGGCATTAACATAAATGTGAAATTTACCTCATCAGCAACGAATAGTCCGCCGTTTTTCTTTACAATGTCTCTTGCTTTACGCAGATATCCCTTTGGATATTGCACAATACCGTTCACTCCTTGTATGGGCTCAGCGAACATGGAAGCCAAGCGACCCGAGGGTACCGAATTGTTTAACAGCTAGAGTAAGAAAGCTGATTAATAAATGTTTTAAAAGTTAAACAATTTAAAAATTACTTGAGTTATGAAAATCTACCTCACTGAGTTCATGTACGTATTTATCAGAGGTAAGACAATCTCCGGGACAGCAGCACGCGCCGGGGACTTGAGACAGGGAGTCCCTGCAGCCACCCCAGATGCCTCGGTAAGGGTTCGGTACCATTGCCTGTGACAGATAAATGATTTTAAAAATAAATTATAGGTATTCGTCAACTTCAACACTTGGGACAGCTGAGTGGCCTGCGTACAGTTGGCAGTTGGCTGTCCCTGGTATCGCTGAATTAATGAAACAGAGAAAGACCTTAGGAGGTCCTTGAGTAGGAACAGTTAGACATCTGCTAGTAGCGACATTAGGTGTCGGAGGTCAATGACCAATTCGGGTCATAGCACCACCTTAGTTAGTTACTTATGTCAATTTCTTGTAGGTGGCCCAATTTGTTTAGTACCTAACATTTAGCTCCCAAATATATGATCAAAAGAAATTACAATTCCCCAACATTGTAGTGTGTGACCCAAAGTGGACTTGTCCACACTTCACTCACATGGTAGTATCCCGCCGCCGTCATATTAGGTTGCCTGAAGGCCTGCGTTGAGGTGAGACTCATTAGACCGCTGGAGCAGCCGTGGTAACTTCCCTGCAGGGACACGATGTCCTGGTTACCTGTATACAGGCGGGAGAGGACCACCGCCAGGTCATTGGCTTCTGTACCGCTGTTTGCGAAGTATACCACCTAGAAATATACGAAAAACTATACGAAAGTACATACGTAAATTTACAAACAGTGGTTTTCTCTCTCATCTAAAATAAAAAATGACGTGGTAAGTGCATGTTACCGTAAAAGCCACTTCCGAAATATTTGTACAGAGGTTGGCATAAATTCGTATTTTGGTAGTTCGGAACGTTCACACGATTGGAAGCGCAGAAGCGCACGTGCGGAATTTTAGGTATAGCGGGACGTAAAGTGATGTGATGAGGACATAGCGAGTAGGTAACGTTGAGAGTCTGAGATATTTAAAAATAATTGTTCAAAGTTACAATATGTTTTAATACAAGTGTTTCGAAAGTTAAATAAACTTGATTACTTCGTTTCGATTATAGACACAGATGTTTCAATACAAATATGATACTTATGTCCTTTGTTTCACATTAGATGGAGTTTAAGTGTGATGTTATGTTTAAAGGATAGTGGACTAACTTAATTTAATAGTAAAAAAAGTATTTTTGCCGGTGTTATAAGCTTAAAACTGATTGTGTTAACTGCAAAAAAAAAACAGAAAATAATTACGATAAATAATTACGATTATTTTAAGACATATTTTATTTATCAAAATATTTTTAATATTTTATTTTTTTTAATATCTACCTCTAAAGGTTTCGGGAACTTGGTAATCAATTTTTCAGCGTATTCGTAAATTTTCGGATGTCTGTAGATGTTAGTTGTGTGCCAAAGTGTGCCGATTTGTTCCTGCAATGCCGCTGCTATTTTTCTGTAAAGTAAACGCTTATTTAAATTTTTCAACATCAGCGTTTATCTAACCGTCGTCCCTTCGAGCAATTACTTAACCGTTAATGTCTTGTAATTAAATAATCTACCTCATAGAAAAATTTATAAATACTACTAAGAAACGCACTTACGGATGACTGTGTCCGACTGAAATCGTAGCAATTCCACCAAAGAGGTCTAAATACCTCCGACCTTCATGGTCATACAGCCACTGTTTGTGTCCCTGGTGGATGATCAGCGGCTTCTGGTATACGTCAAATATGGCTGGAGGGATGTTGGTTGATTTTATATGTTCAATCCTCGCTATTGATGGACCCTTGGAATTAATTTTTCATGAAATACAAGACTTTTTAAGCAAACCTGAATAATTAAAAGTTGTAAAATGATCTATAGATGTTTAGGAGAAATATAGCTTCGTTTTTTATTCTATTTTTACCCTGCACACAATATATGTTTCTGAGACACTTTTTATTTTTAACGATTTTTAATAGTTCAACAGAAAATAGACTCGTTATATCTTAAAAGAATGATGGAGTATTTTTGTTTAGAATCCGTTTAAAAAATAGAAATGGAACTTACCGTGTACTTTTTAGGTTTAAAATTACATTCTGGTAACTTCGCTGTACTGTATCTTGCGAATTGGTTGTCCGTCCGTTTTAATACTGCAATTTAAATTATAAAATATAAATATTCTAAAATATGTAAAACCATGAATTACTCTCTTTCTATAATTTAAATTAAGTTTTTTTTTTTTATAAAAGTACATTAAAATAAAACAACCTTTGAAAGCCATAACGTTGTATCAGTTTGGATAACAAGTTCTCACTAATTATTTATTGTACAAAGTAAATAGTCTGTAACAATGATTAAGTAAGTATTAACATGTTTTGGTACTTATGTTAGTTCATTTCTTTTCAATTATTGCACGATTGTCAAATAACCGGTTTTAGATATTGTTATTTAAGAATAAAATGCCCTTGTCACGTACTTTGTTTTTGTTAAGTAACGACTTTATTTTATAAGGCGTTACTGGCATAATGATGGAAGACTACCTCTTTAATTCTTATAAAATTAGCATATTATTTAAATTTATTTAAATGTTTTTTTGTTAAATCAACTGAGTTCAAGGATCCTAGGTCGAAAAGAAAGGAAGATCGAATCGCCAATCACACTACCGTTTTAAAAAAAAAAGAAATATCATACAAAATATTATTTATTCCTTTACAATGAAATACAAAAAAAACGTTATTTATGTCGTTTAAAAGCTTCATCTAATACAGATATAGAAAAGTCGACGTCTTGTTTGTTGATACACATCGGCGGTTTTATTCTGAGAATCTGAAAGAAAAAACGATTTATTTTAAACCATTTTGCATCCGAATACAACGTGCATGTCTCCATAGATGCATGAAAGTGGGAGAAACCAGTGTGTTGTGTCAGAATACAACGGAATGGAGGTAAAATATTTGGTTAATCATTTTCAATACCTTATAAAAAATACTGGTTTTCGCAAACCCCCTGATACTTCTTTAACTGCAGCCGCCAATTTTATACAGGACAATTTTTTTGTAAACAAACTTACATTATTCCACCTTCCTCCACGTCCTATTAACACACCGAGGTCTTTTATTGTTTCAAAAATGTTCTTAAACTGGTCTACTGGCATCGGGTCCTTGGTCCCCGGCTTGACGAGGTCCAATCCCAGCATGAGGCCCTTGCCCCTTACATCACCAATCACCGGGTGGACCTGCTGCAGTTCCATCAGCTGCTCGATGAAGTATCTTCCTACCACCTTGTTATTCTCTTGGAGTTTCTCTTCTTCTATAACCTATAATTTTAATGTCAAATTGTGTTTGTTTTTTTGTTACTTTTTTATCGCATAAATTAATTTTAATTTTTGATATTGATTTGCATATTTTTTTTCTTAAATATCAAAGAGTATGTAACTACTTCGTAGTTAAATAAAATGAGTATTCCTAATAAGTTTATTTAAGTCAGAGATTCAAAAAAATATACATAATCTTATTTCTTATCTTACTTCTTACTAATATTATAAATGCCAAAGTTTAGATGGATGGTTGTTAGAGTTTGTAGCCTAAACGGCTGAACGGATCTTGATGAAATTTCGCATAGACGTAGAGGATAGTTTGGAAGAACACATAAGCTACTCAGTTTTTTTTTGCATTCCACACGGACGGAGGGCGAAAGCTAGTTACATATAAACGAATCATAGTTGACACTTCACTGAAGACATTTTTCCAAACCTGCCTCAAAACCAGATGTGAATATAATTAATTGTTCTTAAATAAATTGACTAGTTATATTACATTTTGTGAGACTGTTTAGTTTATTTAAAACAAAAGATGGAGATTATTATAGTTTTGTATAATGTTTTATAACAAGTCAATACAAGGACATCAGGCGGTACTAAATTTGACAACTAACATGGTACCTTTCAAAGAAGTTACCGGTGAAAAATGTTGCTTTTTTATTTATTTATATATCAAATAACCAATACAAAATAACAGTTACATAATTAAGTAAAACGACCATAAAGCCAATTGCTAGTTTGTCCAGACGCTATAAAAAGTAACAAACAGTAGGTAAGATTGGATTTTTTATTTTTTAGAATAAGTAAGTGAGTTCACAGTAAATGGCCAATAGTACCTTAAATAATGGTTAATATTGTTTATGGTGGCCAGTATTCTATCACACTTACATCTAAAACCGCCTTCCCCGCTGCCGCCGCGAGTGGGTTACCACCAAACGTATTGAAGTACGCAGCCTGCGCGTGCGCCGCCGCGATCTCCTTAGTCGTGACCACTGCGGCCAATGGGAAGCCATTCCCGATGCCTTTGGCCATTGTCACTATATCAGGTGTGAAACCTTGGTTCTCGAAACCCCAGAATGTATCCCCAGTCCGACCAAAACCGGTCTGTACCTAGGATGTTATTTTTTTTAATACAACTATTGGAGATGACTAGCTTATTTTAAAAATTTAAATAATTTCTCTGCCAACTCACTTCATCAGCGACATAAAGTCCTCCATACTTCTTTATTAATTGATAAGCTTTTCTTAGATAACCCTTCGGAAACTGCAAGGCGCCGTTAACACCCTGTATACTCTCCGCGAATAGTGCCGCCATGCGACCTGCAGGTACTGAGTTTTCTAGCAGCTGTAGATAGAAACATTGTTGTAACTTAGTAACTTGGTAACAATAGTAACGTTTGGTAACTATTAGTTTTTATTTTATTAATGAACTAGCTGTTCCCGTGCGACTTCATCCGCATAAAATTATGAAAATTATATTTTATTGTTTACGTGTAAAATTATCAACTGCAAATGTCAAAATGACATGACCATGCCAAATCATGGTAACCTTGCTTCTTTGATGTTGGCAGCATCTTATGGTCTCTTTCCCACATTAGGGTTTTTATCCAAAATGTTTACCCCCAAGTTTAATAGCGTGAAAACATATAGCCTATAGCGTGACGTAAGTGTGAGGCTTTTTATTAAAGAAGGAATTATTCAAAAATATGTTATAATTGCTGACATCTTAGGCAACAAAGTGTGTGTTTACGCCTTATTATAGATATTTGGGCGTACACCTTTGACTAAACTATCGCACAACTGCTGTGCGATTGTCGATTGTTTCGCAGCTAATTCAACTGTTTAGTTGCACAACTAAACGAGTAGTGAACACCTCCATATAAGCTCATAGGAAACAAAGCGAGACTAAACAACTGTGAAATAAATTAGTCAAAGGTGTTCGCATGCTCTTAGTTAGACAATTAACATGAATATTCATTTCTAATGGTACATTTACAATGTTATTTATTTTACCAGCTTTACCTTAAAAAGATTTTATTTAAAGAACAAGTACATTATTTAAAATTAAGGTTGATGTTAAAACATCCACGATCAAGTACTTGTATTAGGGATTGTCCTAAAAAGGGAAGATATAATTCGTACCAAGAATCGGTATATAATATCTACCTCACTGAGTTGGTGTACGTATTTATCAGAGGTGATACATTCTCCGGGACAGCAGCACGCGCCGGGGACTTGAGAGAGGGAGTCTCTGCAGCCGCCCCAGATGCCTCGGTAAGGGTCCGGTAATAATGCCTGAGAAATACATTCAACAACAAATATCTACAATATACGCGAATAGTCGCGGACGAAGCCTATGCACTTGGCATGGGCGTCGTCAGCTGATTATCTAGGCTATGTCGTTAGTGGTAGTTACCCCTCTACCTCCCATCCCTCTAGCATCGTCCAAGGACAAGGGCGATCTATTGGTGAAGGAATTTTAAAATAACTTTCGTAGTTTTTATGTCATTTTACTGCCTCGGATCTATCAATCAAAGTAGAAAGAAAAGTCATGAAACCAGCAATCCGAGAAGATATTCAAAGATGTGTGTGCAGTCACTAACGGACACTAGTCAAGCGAATAAGACTTCGTTATTAATAACTTATGGTAGTCTTTGGGCAATGTAAGTTGAAGATATGCAATCAAATGTAACTTTACAATTTTAGTATTCCTTAGTAGTCAAGAATAGACTTACGTTATAAAATCCAGCGTGAGATATATTAGGTTGTCGATACGCCTGGGTGGAAGTAAGTCCCATCACCCCGTAGGAGCAGCCGTGGTAGCCGCTCTGCAGGGATATGACGTCATTGTTGCCAGTGAAAGCTTTCGCTAGGACTACAGCCAGGTCGTTAGCCTCCGTCCCGCTGTTCACTAAGTATACAACCTAGAATTTTATTAGAAACTAGCTGTTGCCCGTGTCTCCGTCCACGCAATAGTAAGATAAAAAAATAACCTATAAGATGCCCGTATATATGACCTATATGTCAACTACCCTTCAGTGAAACTCCGGTCGAAATCGGCCCAACCGTTTCGAAGATTACCCAGAACAAACGCGGCTTGACAGACAAAAAAAAATGAAATGCAATTTTCGTTATCAGCAACTGAAATTTGGAATTTTTCTTTTGATATTACAAACAGTTACTCCAATTTTATTGTATGTATAGAATGGTTTATAAAACTACACATGCTGCAGTTTATGTGTAAAAATTATATTCACCTTTAAATCACCAGGGAACTTTTTAATCAGTTTCTCCGTGTATTCATATAGTTTGGGATGGCGGTAGATATTGGTGGTGTGCCAAAGAGTATCAATCTGCTCGTGCAGAGCTGACGAGACTTTCCTGGAAACAGTATCTTTAACTCTAAAACATAGCTAGCAAATTCAATCTGGTCTCATTCCTTTCCTTTGGCCTTTCCTGCACTACACTATCTCTATCTCTCTTCCTATATCTTGCTCTTTCTTTTCTTATGCTTACGCTTCCTAACCTTTCCTATCTTTTTATCACACTAATCTTACTTATATAATAAATGCGAGTTTTTATATGGATGTACGTTTGTTAAAAGGTACCTCCCAGCATAAATGTAGAGCACAATCTGGGAGTACACTTTGGCAACTAGTGTTTAGTTCCGCGTGGACGGTGTCACGGGCGACAGCTAGTATCTAATAATAATTTAGAACACTTACGGGTGACAATGTCCGACGGATACGGTGACAATGCCTCCAAAGAGGTCTAAATACCTCCTCCCTTCATGATCGTACAGCCACTGCATGCTGCCTTGGTGTATTATCAAGGGTTTCTTATATAGATCATAAACAACAGGAGAAACATGATTCAGTTTTAATTTGTCCGTTTTTGCTATAGATGGACCCTGGAAAATTATTATTTTTTTAAAAATTCACTTTAAAAAATGTGTAAACTTAAAAAATCGATCATTCCAGTTGCGTGAGAGTTTTTTTACAATATGCTTAGATTTAGAGTCTGTGGGGCTTATTTTTTTATGGAAATATTTTTAACAGATGTTCCTCTGGCTGCTTTCGGGCAATATATTTTAACAAGCTTTTGAATATTTCGCTATTATAGTATTAATATGCACATAAATTTGAAATACTTACAGTGTAGGGTTTAGGCACAAAATTATATTCCGGTATCGCTGGAGTACTGAAACGTCGGACAAAGTGATTGAAGCAACATTTTGTCGCTGCAAAAGAAAAAAAAATATTTTTAGCTATATTTTTTTTATCTGACGTTGTTAATTAATGAAATTTATAGATTATTATGTTCCAATTTAAATTATATAAGTACAAAAACGTTTTTTTTTAAATAATGATCAATTTTTTTGGAATTAAATCATTGCATTTATTTGTGTTTTTTTTTTAACCTGTATTAAGCATTGCGTTATCACACTAAAGCGACAAAAACTAAACTAACGAAATTATAATCCAACAATGACCGAATAAAACATGACCGTTATCGCCCTATAGACTGATTTGCATCAGTCATTTACATAAACAATTCTTTACATAAATTATTAAAGTATTCTATATCTATATCGATATCGTAGAATCTTTGTTTGGTCGTTTACAATACCTAAGTTTTATTTATGTGAAAAAAAAACCTACATTAAATAAAAATATTTGAAGTTAAAGGAAAATAGCGTTTTGCATTTTCTATTAACAATACGCATAAACACAAACAAGTTAAATTGTCAATTGGTCTATTTCAAACATTGGCGCTCTATTATAATCTTTTTTTTTACTTCATTAAGATTTGATTTACATTTTTCTACTTGAGGGTTATAACATATTCTTTACGAGTGGAATCGCAATGCATGGCTAGTTGTACTAAACTAACGGAAGATAATATTATGAACAAAAAACAAATTGTGATGATAACCTTTTGTATGTGCGTAACATGGAACTTGTTGCTTAGCAACGTAACACCACGCAATACATCTGCCGTACTCAGAGATTAGAGTCGAAACTGCAACAGTTAAAATCGTTAGTTAGTTATTTAAGGGAGATTTTTGGTGTATATTGTCATTCTATGTCTAAAAGCTCCATCAAAATAATTCCAAAGCAATCGATTTATTGTCCTGGTTACACCATACTTTCCAAATAGAAAACTGGTTAGAAGGTAGTATAATTTTTAATCCAATATAAGAACAATAAAATCAAAGTCGAATATTGTAAATAATTAAATATGTAATTTATAAATAATTAATGAATAAATTATTTTTTAAAATTATCGGTATTCTGTATGTATTATCGGTTCGGTACCGTTTGTAACACGTCACTGTTGACAGAATACCTTCCACGTCAATCGAGTTGGAAAGAAAATTGGCATTGGTTTGGAAGTCCAGCGACGGTGGTTGTTACATATTGCCAAGTGAATGTCCTATAGCTGAGCATTAGTTACTATTTTTCATCATACAAGAATAGTTAAAAATGAAGTTTTTATATTTAACTTTCTTAATTTTACCAGCTGCGTTACTGTGCTTCCATAGTGGTAAGTTATTTCATTAAATATTAATATAAATCTAACAAGAAAGTTGCAAGCGTATGTACGTGGCAGATAAATTTAGGATTTTTGAGTGAAAGTTCAAACAAAATACGACCTAAACTAACTAAATAGTTATGATATATCTATACTCTGTTTCAAAGTTCTTAATTCTAAGTAATTTTAAGGGTAACCTGTATTACAATTTACCCTAGTTTATTTTAAGTTCTATTCAAGTCATGTAAGTTGTATTCCATAGATGTTTTACTTTTAATTAGAAAATATATGTTAAAAACAGCTTATGGAATCACACAGCTGTTTATTCTATAATTAGCAAATACTTTTGGTTAAACCAGCTAAAATATTTCTAAACTAAATGTGCCATATATAAGTTCTTATTTTATTCCAGCAAACACTATCCTAGCTCATGCAGAGGAGGATGAGCTAGATGATGTGGTGGACATTGAAGGTGAAGACAGCCAGGTAGTGGGTGAGGATGCTCTCGGAGATGATGATGATTCTGTTGTTAAGTCCTCTGAAGATATTGACACCACCATACTGTTCACTAAGCCTATACCTAATTATGGTGATAATGCATTTGGTAAGACATTTTATTGACTATCATTTTTAATAGGACATTAAGGCAAAAAATTACAAAACAGTTATTGCTAATTCAACTAAAATCAATGAGCTCATTTTACACATGTGTACTGATCAGTCAATCAGCCCTAAGCTTGGCTTGTACCTGCATAGCAGAGCATTGTAGCTGCGAACTCCAAGTCACCAAGCAGATATTTGCTTGACAACTCATATAATTATAATAAAACATATTGAGCCATGATCCGCTAATTTAGTTGTTAAGACACAGCTCAAATGTTTGAGTCTATGTGATCTGAACTTTCAAGAAAGTTCAGAGCTGATCTACACATAACAATATATTCTTAATTGTTAAGTATTTAAAACATCTACCATTGCCTATGTTATGTCTAAACTACCCATTGTTTGTACTGTTTTCTAATGTTTCCAAAACATATGACTGAAAGTCACATGACACTATGTTTTTTATTATTGTCTATTTTACATTTATTATCTTCAACAGACCTACAAGCCGGATACCCAGTTGAGTTCCTGGTTGGTTTCATCAACAAGGGCAATGAGGACTTTTTGGTTGAGACAATGGAAGCCTCATTCAGATATCCTCTGGATTACACTTATTACATCCAGAACTTCACCGCTTTGCCGTACCACAGAGAAGTGAAGCCAAAGGAAGAAGCTACCTTTGCATACTCTTTCATACCTAGTGAGGCATTTGCGGGCAGGCCCTGCGGATTGAACATTCAGCTGAACTACAGAGATGCTAGTGGCAATTATTATCAGGTTAGTTGATTATTTTTATCATTATCATAAAATATTTTAAATAATAGCTATCTAAGGTATATCAATGATTTTTAATCTTTTTTGCATTCTCTTATTTGAAATGTTTAAGAATAAACATCTGTAAGACACTGTACAGTAAAAATATACATTTATTAAGTTTACCAGCACATTCCATCCATGTATTCAAAATATGTTCATACATATTTTAAAGCCAAAACCAACACAAATTTCCAATGGTTTATAAAAGTATATTTATACAGCTGACTGTACTTACTGTATGTGTTATATAATATTAAGGAAATTATGACAATAACTTTCATTCTAATAAAATTATTACTTAACAGGAGGCTGTATACAACCAGACAGTGAACATAGTTGAAATATCTGAAGGTTTAGACGGAGAGACATTCTTCCTGTATGTGTTCCTTGGGGCAGCGTGTGTGCTCATCTTGGTGTTAGGTCAACAAGGACTGTCTTCGCTCGCGCGCCGTCGCTCCCCTCGCGCTGCGCCCAAACCCCTCGAGACTGGCACCGCTAATGATGTAGACTATGACTGGCTGCCTAAAGAAGTTGTTAATCAGCTCAGTAAGTATAACAAAATTATTAGGAATGTTTTAATTATATATTTGTAATTTAAAGTTAAGTCCTGAGGTAATCTTTTTTCTGGACAATAATGCAATAAACTTTAAACAGTGTTATAATCTACTGAAATATTGAATAGACCAGCTTTCCCGGGGCAATACAAAATCACACAATATAAGTGCAAATGGATGCAATTCCCCATACAGTTTAATGAGTGTATGTGCCGGAGTTTTCATTTTAGTTTACTTTCTTTAAGTAGGGATGGTTAGAAATGACTTACTTATAAATGTTATTTGTTTTGTTTCAGAAAAATCCCCGAAGACACCTAAACAATCTCCTCGCATGAGGAAAGCAAAGAGATCTGCCGGAGATGATTAAATATTAAAATATAATAATAATTAGAGAACACCAAATGTTGCCTTGTACGGGCCTCAAAACCTGTTGAGAGTGACTGCAATAATTAAAATAAGAATAGGCTGTGACATTCAATAAGCACATAATATTCAGAAATTAAATTGTTCCAGTATTTGTATTTGCTGCCTTCCGGACCTAATCTTATTTTAGTTATGTTCCAAGTGTACAGACTGTGTGGTTTTTAGTTGCTAAGTGTTGTGAGAGTAAATTATGGAACAAAGTGTGGACAGCTTTTTAATAACGTTCGAAATAATGAGAAGACATTATTTAAATAAAAATGTTACATTTTTAAAAGTTTTTTTTATACCTATCCTAAGAAAAGTCCTTTCTATTAAACTCTTCTTTTATCCTTTGCCTGATACAAACTACTTACATGATAACCTATTGCAGTTAATCTCACAGTACGTAAAGGCGTTTATATTTGTTATTCATTATTGTCATTGTGAAATATAGCAATTTCCTTAACTAAAATTGATGCCTGCCTTTGAATCTATCTGTAAACCTTTAATTAATGTTTAAATACCTAATTTGTTATAGCTTTTTAAAACTAACTGGTTCTTTGGTGTAAATTACGGAAGATGGCTGTATGTACTCCAATTTGATACTCGCAGAATAAGACCCGACAAACAGCATACAAAAATTATAAGTTTTGTACTGTAGTATAACTATTTTTTTAAGTAAACGTAATTTAAAAAAAAAAAACAGTTTTTTATGTGTGAGGATTTCTTTGCTTACTTTATCAAAACCAGATAGTAAAATAAAAACGAAAAAGGCACGTCACTATAACTGTCAAAATCTGAAGTTAATTTGTTGTCTGTGGCATCATTCCTTTTTCTCGTACACGCTATTTGCGCTGCACGTGTATTTTCTTTAGCATTTTAAAACTAATACAAAATGGATAAACCCAACGTTCTCGCTCGCGTCGTTAAGGTTTTGGGCCGTACCGGATCCCAGGGACAGTGTACCCAGGTGAAGGTAGAGTTTATTGGAGAGACCAGCCGCCAGATCATCCGGAACGTGAAGGGACCAGTCCGCGATGGTGACATTCTTACGCTTCTGGAATCTGAGCGTGAAGCCAGGAGATTGAGATAAATGGTAAGTTGCTTACTTTCAATGATATTAGTGAGTTACAAAATTTCGATTTATAGGTTATATTTTGCATTAAAAATTACGATCACTACAGTGATGATCCTACGTAGGGAAAAGGAAAGAAGATGATTATAACCAGTAGACTACGAAAATGAGAGAAAACCTATTTATTTTGATGGCCAAAACAAGTAACTCAGGAATTTATGCATATGTTTTAAAGACTTTTGTTTATTACTTTACAATTATGGTTAAACACAAAACCTGGATGATAATTGTGAGAATATGGGTTTGCAGTAACACCTGTATCTAAAATTATACACCATTTTGAACCATGATATAACAAAATATGTGTTTTTAATTATTTTCATCTCTTGTTTCAGGTTGGAGATAATTCATAGGTTAAGGCTCTTTATATCTGTGTCAATGTAAATCTTAAATACGAAACCGTCAAAGATGACCACATAATGTGAACACTATTCTACAATAAATACTTACCCTAAAGAGTGTTTTTTTTATTTCTTATCTACATAAGAAGTATGCAGCTCTATGTATCTAGGATAGCTTAACATAACATTTGTATTGATTGTAATGGGATAGCTTATAATATTATGACAAATACTATTTGGGACATATTTGGGAAAGTAAATATCTTGCTTTTGTGGCAGAAAAGCGAATTAAAATATTGTACAGAAATAGCTTTGATAGTCTTGGTGTTCTCACTGAGTGGCTCATGGCCTAGTGTTCATAGTAACTAAATGATCTGTAGATCAGTTCAGATTACCTGTTTGAGGGAAATAACTTGATCTGCTCTTAGATGAGTATAATCTGTATCTGCTATAATTTGCATTTCCGCAGCTCATAGGCTCATTTAGTTTGAGAACATATGAATCAACAGCTAATTAGTTGCGCTACAAATCAGCAGTATATGACCTGATCTTTAGGGTTTATGAGCTGATTTACACTTGTTAACAAGGCTTTAATGACAGACAAGTGCCTGTTGGTTGACTTTTTTTTTATTTGCAGATTTGTGTAGGCAGCTTTATTTCCTTTACTTTAAATGTTTGTGTATATTGTTATAGTTGGCACTGCATGTGTTAACTTTGTTAAAATCTTATTTTGTTGCCTTTTTAAATTAAATAAGCTTTAAAATGTGAAAAACTTATCTAAGTGTCGGGAATTCTTCAAACAAATAAAATTGACATAATTATTTATTACAAAACTTGCTATTACAGAAAAAATTTACTACATATTTAATTATCTTTACGGAAACTAGTAAATTGTAGCAATGAAACATGTTAAGTTTTAATAAAAAAACAATGATATTTGGAAGTTATATTTCACATTATTATGTTGCTAATGACAACTGTACACTCCATTGCTTCATATTTTAACAATCAACAAAAATAAGACACGTAAGTACCTATGTCACCATCAAAATCAAACTATATTACCTATACACAACAGTAATGTAAAAAAACCCTTTATTTACAAAAATATACAAAAAACCATTAAAATGGATTGTATGAATACTAGCGCGTTCAATTTGCTCATCCATTCGCATTTGATTTTGCCGCCATTTTCAATGACAGGAACTCGTTTGCACTTGAGCTTGGAAGGTAACTGGAAGATTCGTTGTATATTAACTATCGTTTTCACCCTCACATTGGCTCGCCCAAAATAAACAATTGCCTATTCCGCTATAACATATAAGCATAACTGCAGCTAGAAATACAAAGCTGCATACAGTACACGGCTTCCTCTCTAGGAAGAAACCAATCAGATATAGCACCATGAACATAACATGAGTGTTCACAAGTGCCGGGTTCACGGGTTTGGGTATCAGCAGCACAGGGATCAGCCATTGCAAACAATACATGGTGTTCGCGAGACCGGCACTACGAAGTACTACCGTATCAATTTAACAGGAGCTAATAATCGGGTCCTTATCGACATGTTTCGTGAAGTTTCTATCTTGGAAAAATGTATATGACAAAAATAAGTTAATATCGAATGTCGACGCAAAATCTTTTGACAGTGACAGTTGGCTTCGATTGCGCAATACAGATTACAGAACATCTGAATGAAACATAAACTGTTGTCATTTTTATGGCATCTGTATTCCTAAAAACCTTGAAATTACAATGCAGTAATTTTTTTTTGTTCGTATAGAAACATGTATGCTCATGGACCCCTTTTGAAGTTTTAAAGATGGAGCCCCATTTTATTTCTCTGGCATGAGCTGAGAAACATGAAGTAAATGAAAACTTTGTTCATTTTTGTATTTATTACATTTTATGTAAATGAAAATGTATTAAATAAACGATAAAAATAACAAACATTACTGTGTAGTTTTTTTAGTTTCTACTTTCCAGTGAATGTTATAAAAATATGACTTTATTTAAATAAACGCTACTCACGTACGGTCAATGGCCATATCTAGAAGGAGGAAGGAACATTGGTGGCCATGCCCTACTTTAAAATCTAATGCCTTACCTTAAACATACCAAAAATGCGCTAAAACATAACTAAATTGTTTATTCTTGATTCATTTTTTATTTTAACGTTAAAAGCGCTCTAGCTACAGGCTACAGCCTTGAACTTATGCCCATTACCATTACCCTGGGCAGGAGGCAGATATGAATTTGAATATAGAAATATTTAAAAACACCTCTTTAATTTTATTAAAAGTGGAACGAACGCATAATATTTAAAGTACACATAAGTTAAAGCGGTACATTTATGGGCCCACAATAAATCAACGTCTACGAACTTTATATTCAGGACTAGTAAAACTTTTATGTAGCGTCACTGAAACAGTTACAACGTATTTATTTTGCACTAGCTCTCGCCTGTGACTTTATACGCGTTGAATTAAAAAAAAAGTGAGTAGCCTATGTGTTCTTCCAGACCTCTACATCTATACTGACCAAGATCTTACACCCGTTTAGGCTACAAACTCTAACAAACATATACGACTTATAAGATTAGTAAGATTACGTTTATTTTAGCGCTGATTGGTTTAGAAATCTGCAAGAAATTTAGGAATGCAATTAGAATGTAACAATTTGGGATTCTATAATAAAGGTATAGAACACACATAGAATTATTAATTTATACTTTATTACTGTATTAGTTACTGTTAAATAAAATAATAATAATATAATGTTACGTAATATAAATGCTGTGATACAATTTTTAAAGCCAAATATAATTTCATTACTCGAAGTAGCTCTGAATGTATTCTATTTAAACCTAGTACACATAGTTCTTTATTTCTATTGATCATAACTTTAGATGCTAAAGTCGTATCCTTTAATGGAAACCTTTCATTCTTCGCACAAAAGCTTCGAAAATACGCATGCGTCGATAAAACGGTTCCTCCGCCTGCCGATATTCGGTCATTTCCCGCCAGTGAGGTCCGGGGCCGCCTCGCGCCACACACGCTCCCGTCATCCCGCACACTGACAGCACAATTAGTGATGTGAATAAAAATCGATAACCGAAAAAAATAATGTTCGGTTTTAAATTAGAGCTAGATAACTTAATTTCATTCATTCATGAATTAATTGTTGTATTATCAACGATCATATTATGTCACGACGATGAAAACGATTCGACATAAAATTAATTTTTAAAGGTGATAGTTCTTTGTCTATAAAAAATATTGACAATAATTAGTTTCATAGATACAAATCATGGCGAATCCAGCTCATTTGATGAGGCGACAGAGCTCCCGGGATCTTTATGCCCAGCGATCGTTGGATAGAATGGAAATGAAAGAATTACGGGGGCGATTGGTGACAATGGAGAACGGTCAACCTTCTCACCGCACGCACGTCATGTACGGCGCGACTAATGAAGCATTCGAGGACACCAGCCCTAACCGACGGTCTTCGGAGACTCCGACTAGTAAAGGAAGTTCCGGAGAAGAGACAGTGTTCAAACCTGAAGGTGGAGAATGCGAGAGAGAATCCTGGGACAGTAAGCTGACATTTCTCTTAGCCACTGTCGGATATGCTGTCGGGTTGGGGAACGTATGGCGATTTCCGTATTTGGCCCAGAAGAACGGAGGCGGAGCTTTCTTGATACCTTATTTTGTGATGTTGGCTATCGAAGGGATACCTATATTCTACTTGGAGTTGGCTATTGGGCAGCGCTTGAGGAAAGGTGCTATTGGCGTGTGGCATCAGGTCTCCCCTTACCTTGGTGGTATTGGTATCAGTTCGGCTGTGGTCTCCTTCAACGTAGCGCTGTACTATAATTCGATAATAGCTTGGTGCCTCTTTTACTTCGCTCAGAGCTTCCAAGCGGAACTTCCGTGGTCTGAATGTCCGAATAAATACTTCGATAATGGATCATACATCACTGAGCCGGAGTGTGCGGTGAGTATACAGTTAGTATAAGGAATGAACTATACAGGTTAAGTAAGAAATAAAGCTGCACATATGCTCCCTTGTTTCCTTTGTCTGCTATTACGCTTTTTCTTCTTTTTAAGGTGCCTCTCCGACTAGCTAAGGTCGGCAGTCAGTTCTCCAAATTATTTACTACGCCATTACTATTGCTATTGCTATTACACTAATGCAGAGTTTTTGTCACCAGTTTGAAAGACACTACAGCATGATATTGACATAGTTTTCGTATACGGGATGGAGTTAATGTTATTTAAGTACTTTTTATACTAATACTAAGGTAAATTAAGTTGTTAAAAAAATATAAGAATAATGTAAGTGGTTACACGAATTGTTGGCTTTTACGTGTACATAAAAATATTTTATTTAAAAAGTATCTTTAGGACGGGGATCATCTTTAGGGGATGTTATATTTTATCATTTACTTTTAATATTACTGTATTTAGGATTTAAACGGAAAAGGGCATAGAAGATTAATATTTGATCTTATCTATATCAAGCAGAAGAAGAGCTCTAAAAGATACAGCAAAAGAGACATATTTATTATAAAAGTAAAAAATAAAACTTTAAACATCTCCAGGATTTTTCACTTCAAAAATGTACAGCACTTTTGCAGACAGTTAATAAAGTAGTTCAAACAACTCGCTTCAAATCCTCTTTTGTGGGCTATGCGAGATAAGGCTTTCATTTTTTTAAAACTGAAAAAGATTTCTCTTAACCACGAAAGATAGGATAGCGATTTTAATTAAAAAAGACAATTACTAATAACTGGAAAATATGAAAATGTATTTTAAAAATTGAATTTAAGGCACACACGTAATAAAAGATCGTATAGAGCAAAGATAAAACCATTGTTATAATAATAACCTCCTTAATATGTCATAGTAAATATGAGAAAGCACTATTATGTTTTCAGAGTGATTCTCTCAACATACATATACCTTTTAAAGTATCAAGAACTCTCAATCTCGACCTGCTAGGTTACTCCGAAGTAGATTTCAACTAATTTTAGTTTCACTTGAATACTAAAATTGATCTCGTAACTATTCAATCAATATGTTTTAAGAGATTTTGAGGTTAAGCAGTTATTATGGAACTAATTTTCTACAATAATGTTATGTAATATCTTGAAGTATATAATTGTACTGCTATTTGCTAGACGTGGAAAAATAATAGCGTGTAGATATTGTAAGCAATATCGTTGTATTACCATAAAAGATTGCATTGTTATTTGAACAATAAAAATGGCGCCCTATTTCTGCTTGGTATAACTTTACACTCATTTACCTACTGTATACCATACTTAATTGAAACATCATAATATAAAAATAGTAAGTAATTATTTAAATATATTGGCTGAATCAATTAATGTTTAAGCCGATTTAAAAGTTTTGTGAGAATTCCTTGCGTTAAATTGTCTTCTAAGAATTAACTTGTAATGTTTTGTTATAATTCATTTGCTAAAGATGAAACTTTGCCCGTTACTTACAAAGAAACTTAGAACTCCAAGATCTTCTTTGATTAATGGTACGTAAGAACTAAGTTGAAACTTTGTACCAATAATTCGTTAAAAAAAAGTATTCAACCATTTTTGACCAGTCACTTTAAGAATGCATAAAAACTCTTTTATGTGCACGAATAAACAAATGAAGTACTAACTAAACAGTATTGAAATAAAACATGAACTCTGTATGCAGTAAACGTCTAAATATAGTTTCTATTAGTTTTATATTGAAAGTGCATATAGTTTCAGTACACAATACCGTAGGACGCAATTCAATTTGAGCGTAGGCGAAGCTAGGACATGCTAGAAATTGTGCTACGAAACTACGGAACTAGTCTATTATATGCAGCTATTTATAACTTACAGAGTTCTAATTTATTTCTAGTATATTTACTTGAAAATATTTTAGACTTATATTCGTATAGAATATTTCGTTTCTCTTTTTTGTTTCATTGATATGAAGTTACTTAAAAAACCAAAAAAATTAAAGCATTTCTTTTTCCGTCCATTATGGCCATTTAATTATTCATCACAAAAAATGATAAATAACTTAAACTGAATTATCCATTCTCAGTTTAATTCGCGGAGCAAATAATTTCAGATTGTGAGACATTTTTCATTCATTTTAAATAATTCAACAATTTGACGATTTAAATAATTTATAACGTATAAATTAAGTAATAATAAAAAGTATAACTACAACATTTTTCTTCGATTACTATAACTTCAAACAATTGGCTCTTTGTAATTTTACACATTTCATAGTAATGATTAAACCCAAATTTAAATTATAAACAAATACAATTGCAAAGCATATTTTAACTATTAGTGTTTGAAAAATGTAGGTGTACTTTCATTACATTCATTAATTTATCACTAAAATTCTTTAAAAACAGAGTGTTTTTGGTCGTTTTAAACAACATTTTAAGCATCTGATAGAGATAAAAGTCAACCGTCAAAACCGGTATCACGGGTACAACACTGCACAGAAAAAGCTGTCAACATTATTTTGAAATTTGACATTACCATATGTCAATTTACTCGCTGCAATTAAAAAAAATATTTGTTCGATAATACTCAAAATATGTACTGTCTTTGTTAAAATCTAGATTTTCATTATAGCATGATGAAATTGATATTTAATTCATGAGTTCATATTGTACCACAATTCGATCTTTCTATACACATCTGTGGTCTGTGGCGGTTGGTAACTGGGTAACATCGATCGTTACATGACCTACTTCCACGAATATTGAGGATTTATAAATAGATTTCAACTTAATTCCACGAATTTCCTACCGATATAAGATAATCCAAAATTGTACATTTGTACAAAACCTCAATCCTCTGACGTGCGTTCAGAACAATGGATCGTCTCGTTTAATAGAAAAAATTATTAGAATCTTACCCGTAAATAGGATCCATTAGATAAATAGGAACTACAAAACATTTATTCACTAAAATATGTTTAATTTTACAACTAGATCAATTCGTTGTTTTTTCTGAACATTTAAAGATTTAAAATAATACGACCTAATTCAAGTCGTTACAATTTACAGTCTGCCTTTAACCATTTAGCAATAGACGTAAAGCATCTTAAATTCAATTTACAATGTATCCGAATAAATAGTTACGTAACGAAAGAGGAGAAAATCCTTTCACCAAAAGCGCTGTGTTGGTTTATACGTGGGCGACGCGTGGGAAGTTTCATTTGAACTCCGGTAGAGGCGTGGGTGTTCTACGTTAATCTTTGTACTTTTATTTACAAAGTCGAAAATATCAAACTTATGCTTACTATTATTTTAGAAACCACTTATGAATCAATTTAATTTTTTTTAAGTTAGTGATAAGAAATACAATTAATTCTCGGAAGTAAAAAGTAGACGAACTTAAAATGTGCTCTAAATAAAGTTATTCTAGTTAATATTATAAATACGAAAGTTTAGTTGGATGGATTTTTGTTATAGTTTGTAGCCTAAACGGCTGATAGATATACATCATAGTCTGAAAGAATACATAGGCTACTTGCTTTTGTTTTTTTCAATTTCACGCGACAGAGTCGCTGGCAAAAGCTAGTTTTATAACAAAAGACAAAACATTCAAAAAGTATTCTATTTCTATTACGCTCAAGCTCAAGTCGTAAGTATAACTGGTCTGTAAAAATATTGAGGTTATGAAAAATCCAATATCGCGAATTCCTTGCATTGACTTTTTACTTTCGTCCGTTTGTTGTAAAACAGTTCTTACCTGTAACACGTAAAGGTTTACATTTCCATGAATATGCTAAATTCTACAAAGGAATGTACCACAGATAAAATTATTCCTAGAGTATGCTTAATGTTTTAAAATGTTCAAAAACCACTTTCGAAACACGAGGACGTAAAACAGAAAACAATTGTGTCTAAATAACATCGTCGTAATGAAAATCAGCGGAAAATTTATGCTTTATTAAATTTCCGATCACGCCTCTGGATCTACTCAATCGATATTCTAATTTAGAAACAGCCGACTGTGCGATACGGGTTGCCGACCACATTATTAAGGTTGTTACATAACATAGGGTAAAATGTAATTGAAATTCTCCGTTAATTTGACGGAGTTTTTTGTAGCAAAAAATATATGATACCAACGCACTAAAATCAAACTCTCACTTATTTTGCTCTAAACCAGTTTAGTAGATTTTTTTTTTAAATTAGTCGCTCGTTATTGAACACTATAGAATTTTGGGTTACAAGACAAAGTACTAGCAAGTATTTTTTTCAAAATTTGCGCAATTTTTGCTAAAATTTAGATGGATAGATATTTGTTAGGTATCTCGGGAACGACTTGACTGATATCGGCCAAATGCTGAAACGAATCATAAAGACTTCGCTTTGTAAGCGCTGCTTACAATCCGATAGCCTTACTTGGCAATTTGGAGTTTCAACCTGGACTTACAATTGACGGTGCTAGTTTAAATGACGTTTCAGTAGTCGGCCGATACACTACTTTTTTCTGTAATTCCGGAAATCGTGGGCAATGGCTAGTCTTACTAATATAATAAATGCGAAAGTTAAGATGGATTGATGATTGTTGGAGTTTGTAGCCCAAACTACGGAACGAATTGCGACGAAATTTGGCATAGATGTAGAGGATAATCTGGAAGAACATATAGGCTTACTTTTGTTTTTTTGTTTAATTTTACGCGCTAAAGCTAGTAATAAATAAATGTTAAATCATAAAGTTAATTTTTCGCTTTCATACTGACTTCTTACGTTCAATACTTCAAACTCGATGATATGAAGGTGGAAAGCAATATTCGCTTTGAGATTTTAGATTGCGTCACGTCTTGCGGAAAACTTCGCCTTTAGAGTAATTTCCAATAGGAAATGTTCCCTTTTCATCTCGATATGTGAAGAGAAATCGATTTTTCTTAAAATTTATTGCTGTGTTTATTTTATTTTTAATACTTAGAAGTAAAAATGGCCTGCTTTTTGGGGACACTTTTGTATACTCGTTAAGTGGTTACAAAGATATCTGCATTAGATAGTGCTAAGTAACAAAAAGTGTCTCTGAGTGTAACATTATGTATCTATATTTATACTATTATAATAAAGCGTAAACACACACTTCTTTGTTGCCTAAGATTTCAGCAATTACAGCATATTTTTGAATAATTCTTTTTTTAACAAAAAGCCCTACACTTACGTCACGCTTTAGGCTATATATTTTCACGCCATTAAACTTAGGGGGTAAATATTTCGGATAAAATCCTAATATGGGAAAGAGACCATAAGTTGCTGCCAACATCCAGGAAGCAAGGTTGTAACCATGTCTTGTCATTCTGACATTTGCAATTGATAATTTGACAAATGTAAACAATGAAATAAAATTTTCATAATTTTATGCGGATGAAGTCGCACGGGAAAAGCTAGTCTCTAATAAATAGTAATGTAAATACCTTAATAATTTCTTAGTCATTAAAATTAATAAAAACGATGAATCAACTTTTACGAATTAAAAACCATTTAATTAAATTTCCTTTAAGACGCGGTGACAGGGTCATAATTAAGTTTGCAAGTTTAAGTGACGACGAGACTTTGATAAATTAAGTTATTTACTAAAGGAGTATCGTCGGTATTAGAGGTCAATGAACTCTTGTACAACAGTTTATTGTAAATGGGTTTTTAATCGTTTTTCGATGACAAAAAAGGTTTTAATGCTTAAAACCTTTATTGCGGTCTTTTAAGTATGTAGCCCAGACCGTTTTAAGGGCTTTAATTTCTTGCCAAGAACGCAATGGATTTCCCCTTAACGTTATGATAAATGTGGATAACATTTACTTATTTAAACCTCCATTTTTTTAAAATTGTCTGTCAGTAAAAAATATAAAAAAAAATTATAATGATATAGACACATCATACTAATATTATAAATGCGAAAGTTTATATGGATGTTAGGGTTTGTAGCCTAAACTGCTGAACCGATTTCGATGAAATTTGGCATGGATGTAGAGGATAGTCTGGAAAGACACATAGACTACTTATTTTTTTTATTCCACCCGAACGGAGTCGCGGGCAAGAGCTAGTTAAATTACATTTAAAAGATATTCAAATAGTCTCAAGCATACTTAAGTACTTTAGCAATCTAGCATCAAAGCGGACAATTTAAGTCTAAGCTGAGGACTACGAGACTTCTTTTAGAATGCTTTGAAATTTAATGCATAATAAACTCTACTAAAAGAGGATTTCAGACAGTAAGTTATTTAACCAAATAACTTACTGTCTTACAGTAAGTTATTTAACCAAATAACTAACTGTCTGAGAGAATATATTACCAAGGTTTTTAAATCTTTTTACTTGTGTTAGTCGTATCACACTTTATCTTCAAACTAGCTGTTCCCGTGCGGCTTCATCCGCACGAAATTATAAAAACTTTGTTTCCATTTGTCAACTTATCAATGGTAAATGTCAAAATTGCTGTATGAAAATATATATCCTAAGTCGTAAGCGTATGGCTTTTTATTAAAGAAAGTATTATTCAAAAATATGTTGTGATTGCTGACATCCTACGCCACGAAGTTGTGTGTGTTTATTATATTAGTATAGAAGTATAGATACAGAGAGAAAAAAAGTCAAAAGACTTCACTGAGATTCAAACCTTATAAAACCATACATTTATCCATTGAGCGATAGCCAATAAATTTCTAGAAAGGCGAGAAATGTTAGTTGAAATGAACACTATTAAACCAAGTTACGACAGGAATTTATTGTCTGTCGTTTCGTTTTTATTTGCAGTTGAATTGTTAACCACGGATCTTTTTAATATTTGAACGGTTAATAAAAATAATATTGACCTATGAAGGTCAAAGTTAAATAAATATATCTACTATTTAGAGCAGGCCTTAGATTAAACTATCGCACAACTGTTTTGAGATTGTCGATTGTTTCGCAGTAAATTCAACTGTTTAGTTGCACAACTGAATAGTAATATTGGCACCTGCATATAAGCGGACTATTCCTAATTTCCCGTCACCTTGCTCTGTCACCACCCACCTGAGAATAAAACGTTTCATCCGTCCCACCTTTTAGTTTCACTATCACCAATAAGGTGACAGATTGAACCGTTATGAAATGAAATATTTTCCAACCTTCCCCTTGTCGCCAAATGTGGGACGGATGAAACTTTTATTCTCATCTGTCTTCACGTGGGGACAGAGCGGGGTGACGGTTGGGAATAATCCATATAAGCGTTACCTGTCTGAAGCTTTCCTCGGTTGTTTATCTAAGACCAGCTGTCGCTCGCAAACTTCGTTAGCGCAAATTTCGACTACATTGAAAAAATCAGCCTAGTTATATTAGTATTCCTATCTATGTCAGCTACCCTCTTGTGAAAGTCCCGTTGAAATCTGTTCAGCCGTTTCGGAGAGCGACAGACAGACAGACAAAAAAAATTAAGTGCGATTTTAGTATTAGCAACGCAAAATCTTCCCGAAATCTGGAATTTTTTGTTATTAGAGACACTCCAATTTTATTATATGTATAGGATGATTTCACGACACGACAAATAATCAATAAATAACATTTCATTTGTTTCAGGCAAGCAGTCCAACTCAATACTTCTGGTACAGAACCACTCTACAGATCTCAGAAGATATTAATCACCCTGTATCATTTAACTACAAGATCGCACTCGCTTTAGTAATCGCCTGGATCCTGGTCTATTTATGCATGATTAAAGGCATAGCTTCATCTGGTAAAGTCGTGTACATAACGGCCACTTTCCCGTACATCGTTCTAGTAATCTTCTTCTTTAGAGGTATAACATTGAAGGGTATGAGCGATGGATTGATACATCTGTTTACGCCGAAGTGGCACACGATTTTAGACCCTGTTGTCTGGCTGGAAGCTGGTACTCAGATCTTCTTTTCCCTTGGTTTAGCTTTCGGAGGTCTTATAGCCTTCTCGTCTTACAATCCGGTGGATAATAATTGCTATAGGGATGCGATTATGGTGTCTATGACTAATTGTTTAACGTCCATGTTCGCTGGTATTGTTGTTTTTTCTATTATTGGGTTTAAGGCGACGATGGTGTATGAGAAATGTTTGAGTCTGAGGAATGATACTCTTCTAGAGACTTTCGGGTCATCTTATCAGTCTATGGTGTTCCCGGAAGAAGGGCAGCCGGTAACTATAGATATGAACGGGAATCTTACAACCATATTGATGCCACACTTACCTGAATGTGATCTACAAAAAGAGTTGGATAATGTAAGTGTTAAAATTCTTTTTTTAATTCCTGAATGTAAAAATAGCATCAATGACTTTATAAGTAATAGTTGTTGACCGCGACTATGCACAAGTGGAATTAAAAAAAAAATGTAAAAATATACTCTATGTTACTCAGTGATAACATATCTTTTTAATGGTGCAAGATTTTTTGCAATCGGTCAAGTAGATTTTGAGTTGTTTCAATACATACAAAAATCTTAAAATATAAATCATTCCTCTTTGTTCCATTAGTATAGATATTCTCATCTTTACTTTTTATAATATAATAAGATTAATGTTTTAAATTATTCGACTAGTAACTTCATCTCTTTCCTTTTCAGACGGCATCAGGTACCGGTCTAGCTTTCATAATCTTCACGGAAGCTATCAACCAGTTCCCCGGCGCTCAGTTCTGGTCTGTGCTGTTCTTTCTGATGCTCTTTACTCTCGGAATCGACTCCCAGTTTGGGACACTAGAGGGCGTGGTAACTTCTATTGTGGATATGAAGCTCTTCCCCAACCTTCGCAAGGAGTACCTCACTGGTGGTCTATGCCTTATCTGCTGTCTGTTGTCTATGGGCTTTGCGCATGGAGCTGGGAGCTACATCTTCTTGCTATTTGATATGTACAGCGGCAACTTTCCTTTGCTAATCATCGCTTTCTTCGAGTGTGTTGGTATCTCCTACGTGTATGGCGTTAAAAGGTAAATATTGTTTTTAACAAACTAAAGATAAATAGTTATGTTAATTAGAAAACACGTCACAATTCACAATACATTTGGTGTAGGACCAGACCAGATAGTAAGTTTATTGTTAAATAAGGCACTGAGTTTCGAAATGCAATCCAAAATCATTATATCATCATCAACTTGCCCTTATCCCTTACGGAGGGTCGGCACAGTATGTGCTGCTCTTCCATACATCTCTATCAGCCATTATATCTGAATCTACTCCTTTCCTAAGCATATCTTTCACACAATCCATCCATACTTTCTCCGGTCTTCCTCTTCCTTTGTAACACTTTCTGTTATATGTTCTCATCGTCTAGTCGCATTCCAAAATCATTATAATGGGTAATTATTCCAACTAAAATGCTTGCATCAATACAATACATACTTTAATTTTGTCACAAAGAATGAGACAATAAGAAAAGTGATGGTATTTGGTCAGTGAAAATACACGCTATTGTATTTTAATTTACAGATTTGCTGACGATATTGAGCTGATGACGGGTCGTCGACCTGGTATCTATTGGTTGATCTGCTGGAAGTATCTATCCCCACTGGCGATGCTCTGCATCTTGATATCATCGTTCGCTGAGCTGGCTGTGGGTGGCGCAGGGTATGATGCCTGGATAGCCTCGGAGGGTGACACCGAGAGGAAGTCCTGGCCCATTTGGGCGGTGCTTCTGGTCCTCGTGTTGGTGTTGGCTTCTGTGCTGTGGATACCTGTTTTAGCTATATGCAGGTATGTAGATATCTATCTACGTATAGAACTATTTATACTAGCTTTCGCCCGCAACTCCGTCTGCGTAAAGATAAAAAAATAAAAGTGAGTAGCCTATGAGTTCTTCCATACTACCCTCTACCTCTATGCCAAATTATATCGATATCCACTCAGACGTTAAGGCTACAAACTCTAACAAACATCCATCCATGCATCTTAACTTTCGCATTTGTATAATAAAAATTAAGTTAACCGGGCGCTAAGTACTATGAAACTATTTTTAATGTCCATTTCTCTATTCTTAGAGGCCTATGGCAGCCGCAACAACCGAAATAGCATAAAAAAGCAGATATTGAGTTGCTTAAATTTTCTTTTTGTATGGTTCCAGATACTTCGGCATTCCGATCATAGAGGATGAAGAACGGGCGTGGTTCCCGGCTGACGATCTCCGCGACTTCCACGGCATCGAACCCCGTCCCGTCTCAAACCTGGAGACGCTCCTCTTCTGCACACGACCTGATGGTACAGAGGGCTGCTGCTGGCCCGGCTGCTGTGAAACTGATGACGAAGAGTAAACAAAATATCAGTGTTACCATACGCTGCACACTAGCGCCAGTAACATTTTAAAGTAAACAACTGTTTTAATCTATTTATTAAAACAAAAATGACAATAAAATTCTTACAGGTTAAAGATTTCAGGTTATATTCACAAATCGTGGAAGAATTATAGTTTAAATCCTATAAACAAACAAATTATAAGTAAAAGACTTAATAACACATCATTTTACCTTACATATTAAGAAGCATATCAGTTAACTATTGCATATCCTTTTTTATTATAATTCTATTAATTTTGAAGTAATTTTTGTAGCTCAAAATAATAATATACATAAATAGCCTAAAACGGTTAAACACTATTAAGTCTTTGATAAAGGTTTCTCAAATATTAATATAAGAAAAGAAATGTTCTCATACAATTTGTACCATTATATTTTTAATATTTTACTGTTACCTGTTATCAATTGTTAATATTGTATTTATTTTATATTTGTAGGATAAATTACCTAATAATTTAATCTATTTTTAGTCCTGTTACAATTTTATGGCCTAGCTACAAGAGTTTTAAGTCAGTAAGATTTTAAATTCACCAAAGACAATATCCATAACTATTACTTACGGTTTTAAGATTGCATCGAGCATATCGGGCAAAGATCTTTTACTCATGCAGCCAGATTGTAATTTTTAAAAAAATATATAATTTACACTAAAATGTTATTTTATAGGATTTATTTAGTGCAGTATTATATTGTATTGTAATTGTTAGTATGTTCCAAATGTACTTTTAATATTTAATCAAATATATTTAACAGTATCACAATTTCTTAAAACTAACCTAAGTAATTATAGACAATAATGAAATGCCTCTGTTAAAAAAGCATAAAATATGCTTTATTTGCGTAATGACAATAATAATTACAATATTAAGCGTAATTTTGACAATAAATCTACATATATTTTATTTTAAAGTAGCTTTTTAAAAGATGTTTTAGCGTTTTGAAATAAATATACAATTGAGCTATTATCTATATATTTTATGTAGGTTTTTGTGACTGCAAATGTAGTGTAAATATTCGTATTTTATTGATGTGATATATTTGTTATGTTTTTGATATTTTTAGTAGATTTAGATTTTAGTAATATTTCATATTTAAAGATATGGGTCGGTGCACATATACCAAGTTTTTCAACCAAGGCGTACATCGGCCTAATAACCTAATCTAATTAAATAAATGTTACAATTTATCAATAACCTAAAAATGAAGTGTTGCTGTTTTTACTATTGCAGATATTTCTGTATAACTTGTATGATATTTATGACTATCTATACCTATACATATTACAAAAATAAATACAAATAATATTAAAAAAATAACTGTTATTGGCCAAGCGTATATGATAGATAGAAAATTAGTTTGTTTTTTCTGTAGCTACATTTTAAACACCAATTCAGTTCAAATTGTGCCTATCTATGCCATAGAAGTAAGTTAAATATAGGGTTTTCATCGATATTCGTTAATTGAAAGTGTAAGCCATTTGTGACAGCCTTGTTAATTAATTTGAAGCTTTTTACGGCCGATTATAATGTAGACTCATATAATGAAAATTATGCGCACATTGTGTTAAAGTATGTAGTTACATCAATGTTCAATAAATTTTAAGATAATGAATAATTATCTGTAATATTCAAAATAGTTAGAATGTTTTTAAACAGCTGTCTTCTATAACAATTCATTGCAGCGTCTATCTAAATGTAATCGCGCCATCTATGATCTCAAAACGAAAAATACATCATGTCTGTTTCTAAAATTATTTTAATCAAAGCGTGTCAATTATCATGGTCAAATATTACAAAAACTTGTTTTTGTTCGTTAATTTTATAATTCGTTTAGATAGATATATTTTTTAAAAGTTCTAACATCCTAATTTGTTGTCATGACAATTTAAAAAAGTATGTTTGGTCTGTACGGAAAATAAAGTTCCGTCCAAATCAATTTTAATCATTGGGGCTTATATTATGCGTCAGTAATATAATTTTATCTATGTTATTTTTGGAGGTGAACGTTCCAAAACTTTAAATATATTACAAAAGTTTTGCAATAAAATACAGCTAGAATTTATCTCAAACTAGTTTTCACTGGGAAAAAATTCATCGAGTGAAGTCAAGCACTGGATCAGCGAAGTCTAGACCCCTTAAGGTTAGGTTTTAAGCCTCAAAAGCAGTAACTATAAATGACTTTTTCACTAAGCGACTAATGAGGTTCGCCGTAATAAGTCGTGTCTGTACCAGTGTAAATGAAAATCAGTCGCACGTTGCACGGCCAGTGAAAATTAGGATTTAGGGCTATTAAAATATGTAATGAACGTAACCTCCAATTTTGTTTTTTAAATATTACATGTAGTGCTATCTCCGTCGAATTCTATTGGCTATTTACATTTTATTGTTATAATTATAATAGAACACATTACAGACGAAATCATGCATCTATTGTGTAACTTCCATTTACTATTCAGACAATAGTTAAAATAAATAACTAAAATACATTATTTAGTCTTTACTAGTATTTATAAGAATTGTTGTTCGTGTTACCTTGTATATCCAATTATTAAACGTGTTGATGGTAAATAAATGTTCAAAAATATACTGTTTTTTTTTACCTATCTTCGTTATACAGTTAAGATCTAAGCCTTATGAAAATTTGCGAGCTATTCGTTACGTCATAAATAAAATTCGTATTGATAGTGTAGCTTCCTTTTTTAACAGGGACATATGTCACAAAAATTATGTAGAAGACGTTACGAAGACTTGAAAATTTTCATGCACCTCTGTAGCCCAAACGACTGAACTGTGAACGAAAGAGATTCGTTTCTTATTCCCTGAGTATCAAATACATTGTAAAAACTTCGAGTAAAACAGACAAGTATATCCAAAAAGAGAACATTTCCCCTTCCTATGCGTCTCTTCCACCGTCAAATCCACTTTTCCTTCCCATCCTTTCCTCTTAAGAAAAGGGCGGAAAGGGAAAGAGACTAAAATTAGGCCTCCGGCAGCACAATCATAAAAAAAAAACAGGGAATTGCTTACACTTCACGCCTGTTTTCTGTGTGGTCGTCGTATTACACCGGGCGTGCTGACCCATTCGTGCGAAGATGTTAAAGCGGGCTCTACCACTGTTAAAATTACATTCATGGAGAAAAACGAAATAAAACCAGTAATATGTATTACAGTCTTTATTAGATAATAAAAAAATATTTAAAACACGTAATTATAGTCCTATAAACTTTGTCTGGCTCGGTATTTGGCGCGTTTTTTCACACGAGGGTAGAACACCTCACGGTTCGCATGTACGAAGCAGTCCAGTGGATCGCAAGGGCGGATCCTGCTTTGGCGCAAAGGGGAGTCATAGTCGTGGACAAGTCAAGAGCTTGACAAAATATGTATATATATTTTGTCAAGCTTTTGAC